AAACTGTGTCAACCTCCTGCCTCAGCCTCCTTAGTAGCTGGGATTATAGGCATGTGTCACCATGCTCAGCTCCAATAAAACGTTATTTACAAAAAATGGGTGCCAATGGGGCTGGGATTGTGGCTCAGTGGTAGTGCACTTGCCTAGCACATGCGAGGCGCTGAGTTCAATCCTCAGCACCACATAAAAATTAACTAAAAAAGTAAATAAATAAATGGGAGCTAACATCTGTACTATTTGGTTACCCAGTGGTACCACTGTTGGACAATATAAAAGCTCAAACATTTTATTTACCAGGTTACCAAGACAATGAATTGGTATCTATTATACTCCACAAGGCTTTCTTTCTCTCACCTTTTTCCCCTCACACTCTTTCTTTCTCCTCTCCCTAGTTCTGGAGATTTCAGAGAGCCCTTCCCACTGCAATTGTTACCTTTATTGAAACTCCAATGGCTCCATCTTTGGCCAATGGGAACCTCTTAAAATTTGGTTTTGGAATCCAATGGACTGACTCTAACACAACAGAAGTTGATCAAGCAAAGTGATTAAAGAAACAAAAGAAATTTTCGGACACAATTAAAGGTTTAAAAACCCAGCAAAGTATCCCAGGCTGTGTGGTGGCAAAGTGTGGCTATTACTTTGCTACCTAAGATATCTACACATTCATTCTAGGATTAGATCTAGAGACGTCTTCCTTCTCAAAAGTCTGTCTTTGTTATAGATGAACTATTCCAAGACTTCAATCTAGGTACTTGGGACACTCAATGCTATGGATATTTAATGTTTCTGTTTCCAGTAGGCACATCCAAAGAAAAATTTATATGCATTTATAGGTAAAACACAATGTGAGTTCATAAAAATTTCCAATGCAAATTCAGAACAACAGGGTTTTACTTGACTGAAGGTCATAATCCATTAGATTTCAAATTTCAAAGTCAATATTTTTTTTTGGGGGGGGGGGGTAATGCTGGGGATTGAACCCAAGGACTTGTGCATGAGAGGGAAACACTCAACCAAATGAGCTATGTCCCCAGCTCTCAAGATCATTTTTAACTGAACATAAAATTCTTGACTCTTTTCTTCCTGGAGTATCTTAAATATACTTGCCCATTGTCTCCTAGCATGAAGTGATGCTATTTGAAAGGTCCAACAATAATATGCTTTTTCTTCTTCTAAGTTGTGTGTTCTTTTAGCCTGAATACTGAAGTTTTTTGTTTTCTTTCTGTTTCAGTTTCTACCGTAGAATACAACAGAATATTTAGCTGTGGGTACATATTCTAAGGTATACAGTATAATTTTCCAGAAAGTAGTTTCATGTGTATTTTTTTTTTTCAGAAAGTTTTCTTAAAAGATAGTTAAGGATTGCCTCTGTCCACTCGCCAATGCCTATAATAAATACACTGTTGTATCTCCATTGCTTATACTTTTTTTTGGGGGGGTGAGGGGGTGCGGGTACTGGGAATTGAACCCAAGGATATTTTACCACTGAGTTAAATCCCCAGCCTTTTTGAGACAGGGCCTTGATAAATTGCTGAGATGAGCCTGAAACTTATGATCCTGCTGCATCAGCCTCCGGAGTTACTAAGATTTCAGGTGTGTGCCACAGCACCCAGCTCTATACTTGTTATCTGACATTTTCTCTTGAACTCTGATTTTTAAAATGTCCTTCTTTTTTATCTTCCATTTATCTGAAGATGATTTATTAATTGAGTTCTTTCTAGAATAGTCTTTGCTTTTTCTTCATTTTGATGCTGGGGATTAACCCAGGGCCTCTAAGTTCTTGCTTCCAAATAAATTTTTATTTCTAATTCTTGTCACCTCATTTCCAAGTTTACCAATTATTTAATGATGGGGCTGGGGATGTAGCTCAAGCAGTAGCGCACTCGCCTGGCATGCATGCAGCCCGGGTTTGATCCTCAGCACCACATACAAAAAAAAAACACAAAGATGTTGTGTCCACCGAAAACTAAAAAAATAAATAAATATTAAGAATTCTCTTTTTAAAAAAAAAAAAATTATAAAAATTATTTAATGTTATTTTTGCATGTAATTATTTTCTTAATGTCTTTCAGCTCACTCTGAAATGGTATAGCTTTTCCCTTTTTCTTTTTGGAGTTCTGGAAATCAACCAGAGCCTTTGTATGTGTTCTATCACTGAGTGATACCCCAGTCCAAGAGTCCTGTTCTTGAAGGGAACTCTAGAGCACGAAAATGGAGAGTTTGTAGGAAGAAGACTATGATAGTCCTTTTAGACTTTTAGCATCACCTGTTATTAAAGCCAAATCTCTTGCAGTTTGTAGATGCTCTTCTCAAACTAGCACCTTTATACTTTCTAGTCAGTACCTAACTGGCTTTTTAGGGGTTTTCTTGTTCCACCCTTTACTAGAATAGTTTATAATGCTCACATGGAAAATTATACAATACAGACAATAACAACAACAAAAATTGTTTTAAATAAGAAAAAATGAACTTATGGCTTGTGCCAGTAAATGAACAGAAATGGAGAACATCATGGTAAGTGAAATAAGCCACTCATAAAATCAAAGATCAAATGCTATCTTTCATATGCAATAGCTAGAGCAAAATGGGGAAGGGGAATCAGGTATCATAAAGATATACGGAAGATCAGTTGAGATGGAGACCAAGAGGGGGAAGAGAAGGGAAAGAGGAGGAAACACAGAATGAATTTAACAAAATCATACTATATGAATGTATAAATATACCACAGTAAATACCACCTTTATGTGTAATCAATAAAGCATCAATCAAAAATAAATAAACAATGGGCTGGGGTTGTGGCTCAGCAGTAGAGTGCTCGCCTAGTGCGTGCAAGGCCCTGGGTTCGATCCTTGGCACCACATAAAAATAAATAAATAAAACAAAGGTATTGTGTCCAATTACAACTAAAAAAATAAAATTTTAAAAAAGTAAATAGATAGATAGATAAATAAGTAAGCAAGTGAACCAAGAACACTAAAAGCTGGGCACAGTGGTGTACACCTGTAATCCCAGCAACTCTGGAGGCTGAGGCAGGAGGATCAAAAGTTCAAAGCCAGCCTCAGCAACTTAGTGAGATCCTGTCTCAAAATAAATAATAAAAAGGGCTGGGGGGCTGGAGTTATGGCTCAGTGGTAGAACATTTGTCTAGCAAGTGTGAGGAACTGGGTTTGACCCTCAGTACCACACAAAAATAAATAAATCAATAAATAAAATAAAGATATTATGTCCATCTAAAATTAAAAATAAAAATAAAAGGGCTAGGATGTGGCTCAGTGGTTAAGAACCCCTTGGGTTCTATCCCTGGTACCCACAAAAAAAAAAAAAAAAAAGACCAGTAAAGTAGAAGACAGAGAATAGGCAAGAGTGGTAGAGAGGAGGAAAAAGGTGGACAATGGAGATTGAAATAAACTATATCAAATTCCATGAATGTAGGATTTTGTCAAAATGAACCCAACTACTAAGTATAATTATAATGTATTAATAAAAGAAAAAGAGCACCCTCAGATTCACCATTTACTGCAACATTTTATAATGCTCACTTGGCAAATTATACAAGACCAAAAAAAAAATGATTTTAAAAAGATCATGGTGGTGCATGCCTGTAATCCCAACTACTTGGAAGGCTGAGGCAGGAGGATTACAAATTCAAGGCCACCCTGGGCAATTTAGTAAGACTATCACAATATAAAATAAAAAGGGCTACGGATGTGACTCAGTGATACAGCACTTGTTTAGCATCTGCAATGGTGGGTTCAATCCCAAGCACTAGAAAAGAAAAAAAAAAGGGAAAGAAAAGAAAAAAAGAGAGCCAGGCACAGTGACATAACACCTGTAGTCCCAGCAATTCAGGAGGCTGAGGATCTTGAGTTCAAAGCTAAGCAACTCAGTGAGACCCTGTCTCTAAGAAAAATACAAAATAAGGCTGGGGATGTGGCTCAGTGGCCAAGTGCCCCCAAGTTCAATCGCCAGTACCAAAATAAATAAATAAATAAACCTTTTAAAAAAAAAGAGAATGAAGAGACAAATAGAGGTTAGAACTATAAGGCTTCATGAAACCTGAAACAATTTAAAGAACACAGTTTAGGAGGAACAAAACAAATGTATTCCAAAGTGAGAAAAAGTGTAATTAGAAACAACATGATGAGCATACAGATTGTTTGTTAGTTTTTAAATTCAGATAGCAGTAGAAAAGCAGGAAAAGTGGAGAAGGGATAAGCAGGCCTTAGGGGCCCAATAACAAAGCTACCCAAAGTTCAAACTGACAGCACAAGTCCTGGGCAATAAGGATGAAGGGGAGGCACTCTCACAAAGGAATCACATGATGAGAGTCATACTTCAGAAATTAGCAGACTACATAGAAATTGGGGTGGAGAGAAAAGTGAAAAAAAGGAAGTAGGAAAACCAGATGGATGGTAACGGCTTCTAGTGTGATACGCATCAGAAGGTAAAGTATATGAGGTAGGACATTGAAGAAACTGTCTTGGTTTAAAGAAAACTAATATTTCAAATTGGAGAGTATATAGGCTTTAAAAAAAAAAAAAAAAAAAAGAAAGACTACAGAAATAAGTATATCTTTAAGTAGAAACTTTCTGCAAAATCCTGATAATGATGAAGGCTGGATGATTTGGCTTATGGAGTTGATTACACTAGGTTTTCACTGTGGAGAACATTAAAAAATTGCATAGTAAACTTTAAAAGAATCTCCAGGGGCTGGGACTTGGCTCAGTGGTAGAGTGCTCGCCTAGCACCTGCAAGTTACTGGGTTTGATCCTCAGCACCACATAAAAATAAATAAAGGTATTGTGTCCAACTAAAACTAAAAAAAAATTTTTAATAAATAAATCTCCAAAAAATGTGTATAAACATTCTTCGTTAACCCTTCTCATTCTTTTTGCATCTAATCACTTTCTTCATACCATAAATAATACCTCATGAAAAATTCAAAATATTTAATGTCTCATGAAAAAAGTTTGAGAACAAAATATCACCTAAATTCTTACCTTGATTTTTTTCTATATTATCTCCTTTTGCTTCCTCTTCTTTAATGGGGGAACTTATTCTGGAGGTCCTGCTTTGCCCCTGGACTACTTCTGCTAACAATTCTTCCTGAGAAGTTCGAGTTCTTGGAGCAACTGGAAGTGTCTGTTTCTGTGGGACTTTTACATAAAATAAACACAGACAACGTATTAAGACTCACTAATAAACATGTCATATTAAACATAAAATTACTGGATTTAGAACACTAAGATAGTTTAAAACAGTCACAAATACTACCTCAGTCTTTCTTACAATATTCCTGACCAAACTTCCCAAAGTTACCAAAAATAATAAATGCCAAACTTAATGCTAGACATATGCAAACAATATCTGTATGTTTAAGCAACATGCCATAAATACCATAGAGCTCATATATATTCATTTTTAATCAGATGAAGTTTAGGCTCTGTTTTGTGATCTTACCTCAACTTCAAATTATAATTTAGGTAACCTAGGTTAAAAAAAAAAGTTTCAATGCTATTTCTTAAAATTTGGAGACTGACAATTATTATAAAAGCAGGGGCTGGGGATATGGCTCAAGTAGTAGCGCGCTCGCCTGGCATGCGTGAGGCACTGGGTTCGATCCTCAGCACCACATAAAAATAAAATGAAGGCATGTGTCCACCTAAAGCTAAAAAATAAATATTTTTTTTTAAAAAAAGCAGCATATTTCAAGTCACAGAGAGTATCTAAATTTCTCACTATTCTGCACCATTACTAATAGAACAGAAAAGGGAATGTAAACAAACTTTTAGGTCAAGTGTTGGTCTGTGCTTAGACAATCCTCATTCTATGCTAAACCCTGTTTAATTTTATGTTCCGGATTAAATTACGGATAGAGACAGAGTATAAGGATTAAAAAACTGATGGCTAACAGTTCATTTCAGAAAGGGGTCACAAAAAGAAATGTTAAGAATGATGCTGTTAAAATCAAGAATCAATAAAAAGGATGGATTCAAACTAAAAAGTTTCTTCTCGGCAATAGAAACAATCTGTGAGGTGAACAGAAAGCCTACATCTTGGGAGCAAATCTTTACCCGTCACACATCAGAGCACTAATCTCTAGGGTATACAAAGAACTCAAAAGGTTAAACACCAAAAAAAAAAAAAAAAACAAAACAACCCAATCAATAAACGGGCCAAGGACCTGAACAAACGATTCTCAGAAGATGATATACAATCAATCAACAAACATTTGAAAAAGTGTTCATCATTGCTAGCAATTAGAGAAATGCAAATCAAAACCACTCTAAGAGTTCATCTCACTCCAGTCAGAATGGTAGCTATTATGAATAAAAACAAGTGTTGGCGAGGAGGTGAGGAAAAAGGCACACTCACACACTGCTGGTGGGGCTGCAAATTGGTGCAGCCAATATGGAAAGCAGTAGAGATTTCTTGGAAACTTGGGAAGGGAACCACCATTTGAACCAGCTATCCCTCTCCTCAGTCTACACCCAAAGGACTTAAAAACAGCATACTACAGGGATACAGCCATATCAATGTTTATAGCAGCACAATTCACAATAGCTAAACCGTGGAACCAATCTAGATGCCCTTCAATAGATGAATGGATTAAAAAAAGTGGCATACATACACAATGGAATATTACTCAGCAATAAAAGAGAATAAAACCTTGGCATTTGCAGGTAAATGGATGGAGTTAGAGAAGATAATGCTAAGTGAAGTTAGCCAATCCCCAAAAACCAAATGCTGAATGTTTTCTCTGATATAAGGAGGCTGATTCATAGTGGGATAGGGAGAGGGAGCATGGGAAGAACAGACGAACTCTAGATAAGGCAGAGGGGTTTGGAGGGGAAGGGAAGGGGCAGGGGTTAGAAATGATGGTGGAATGTGATGGTCATTATTGTCCAAAGTACAGGTATGAAGACATGAATTGGTTTGACTATACTTTGTATACAACCAGAGATATGAAAAATAGTGCTCTAAAATGTGTAATAAGAATTGTAAGACATTCTGTTGTCATATATTAAAAAAAAAAAAAAAATTCACCAGGGCTGGGGATGTAGCTCAATGGGAGAGTATCTGCCTAGCATTCAAAAAGCCTGGATTCAATCCCCACCCCCACAAATAAATAAATAGATACAACAGTGCTTCCTGCTTTGTGTAGGTACCTGAGTAAATAAGCAAGGGGAAACAAAAAAAAAAAAAAGAACATTCATCAAATCTATAGTAAAAATTATAAAATATTTTGAGAGTTGGTAATTACCATCAACCTGTTACCAGTTTTATACACTGGCAGATGATATAGAGTACAGAATTTAATAAGAACACAAAAATTGTACCCCACCATTTGTATTTCAGAATGAGCTTTTTATAAGTAAATTTCCTTTGTTTAAAAAACTTGTACTATTTTAACATTCTGTCATAAAATAGCTTAGTGTTTCCACTCTGATTAGGGTAGAAACATCATAAAGGGAGTCAATTTTCTACCTTATATTCTACTAACGGGTTCCAATGAAAGGCAAATTTATATACATACATATATACATATATATAAAAAAGTTTTAAATTTCTCTGAGGCTAAGGATACAGCTTAGTGCTAGTGTAGCATACCCTGGATTTGATCCCCAGCACTGCACATACACACAGAGTCAACTTCAAGCTGAGCATGGTGGCCCATGCCTATAATTCCAGAAACTTAGGAGGCTGAGGCAGGACCAAAAGGTCCTGTCTCAATATTAAAAAAAAAAAAAAAAAAGAAGAAGAGGGGTGGGGGATGTGGCTCATAGGTAGAACATTTCTGGGTTTAATACCCAGTCCCCCCACTACACACACACACACACACACACACACAAACCTCTAACTTTAGCCACTTATTATTATCCAATTTGGCTCCTTTTTTGTTTTGAGACAGGGTCTCCCTAATTTTCTGATGATCTCGCTAAGTTGCTAAAGTGGTGATCCTCCCACTTTAGCCTCCCAAACTGGGGATTATAGACATGTGCCACTGTGCCCTGCAACTCTGCTCCCTTTTATACATAATTAATTCATATCTAATGCTGAATTTAATACTATTAATATGAAAGTCTCATTTCTTGAAATCAAAATTCCCTTTAAGGGCTGGGGTTATAGTTCAGTGGTAGAGCACTTGCCTAGCATGTGTGAAGCACTGGGTTCAATTCTCAGCACTACATAAAAAAAATAAATATTGTGCCCATCTATAGCTAAAAATATTAAAAAACAAAAAGAACAGCAACAAAAAACTTCCTTTAGTAGGGTTGTGGTACAGCTCAGTGGTAGAGCGCTTACCTATCATGGTGTGAGGCCCTGCATTCAATCCTTACCACCACATAAAATATAAAATAAAGGTATTGTGTCCATTTGCAATTAAAATAATTAAAAAGAAAAAAAAAACTCCCTTTAAAAATTTGTATCCATTTGACATACACTGGAAAGAGGGAATAAAAGGTATTACATGGTGATCACAAGAACTAAGCTCCAATGACAGTTTCTCAAACTGGTCATATCTCATTTTAAAAATACTCTTCTGTAGAAGAACTTTATCTTGGCCTTGATATATCAAAGTTACCTTTACCACAACTCAGTGAGCAAACACTTTTAGCTAAGTGAAGAAATCTCTTACCCATTGTAAACAAACTTCATTTAAATTACCTGCAGAATAGTTAGTTGTTTTTGTTACTGATTCTTGAGCTTCAGATATAGCCTTCAAAATTAGATTCTTGTTGGCTTGTTTAGAAGGTGGAAGAGAAGGTCTAAAAGAGTTTTTTAAAAAAAAAGTATTTTTAAATTTCACATCTTTACATACTAACAATTCATTATGTCTTTACCACAACTTCTTCTAAGTCTTAAACAGACCACGTGTAGTTTTTAGACAATGCCATGAGGGAATTTCACTCTCAAGAAAGTCCATACTCTCTTTCCCTTCAACTACATAATCCTTACTTTCCTACTCTGTGTTCCAGTTTCTTAAAAGAAAAAAAGGTGTGTGTGTGGGGGGGGGGGGGGGGCAGCTAGACTGGAGCCTTTTAGCTGGATTGATGTTTTTTTCTCTCATCCAATTAGCTTTTTATGTTTTCTACAATTCTCTTCAATGTTAAGCAAGTTCTCTCTCATTTACCTAAGTGTTTCTTAAAAGCCAATGGAAAAATCTTACATGTGATTTACATTAAATATTTATTTTCATAATTACTCTCTTCAAGAAATCTAGAAGGCACTGGGGTATACGTTCAATAATAGAGCACTTGGCTAGCATGTAAAAGGCCCTGAGTTTATTCCAGTACAACTTTTAAAAAAAAAAAAAAAAAACAGCCACCAGAAGACTCCACTAGACAGTTAAAGATTAATTTACAGCTATGTTCAGGTACCTCCTTTCAGGCTTTGCTGGCACAGATACACTGCTGGACACGCTTCCTGTTCGGGAGCCATAATCATCATCTTCCTCCTCCTCTTCTCCATCGTGATTGAACTTTTTTACTTTAACAACTGAACTCACCACAGGCAACTTTCTCTTCCGAAAGTTTTCATCCTACAATCAGATATGTTTATGCTTACCTAGTCTCAGAAAATAATGAAGTTCTTTCACAAAACATCTTAAGAAAAAGACAATCATATTGAGAATTCACAGGGTACTTCCCAATTTCTTATAAAAATATAAACACTGCCTCAAAATACCCAGCATTCAGCTAAAACAAAACTCAGAGCTCTACATTCATTTATAATAGCTGCACAAAGCACTGCTGAAGAAATAAAAGGGGGTTACTTGGGTTAGCAATTACCAAAAACTGTCTAAAATTCACCCAAAATACCCAAAATTATAAGCTAACTCAAATGAAAGAAATCCAAAGAAGGTATACAGATGTAGTATAAAATCTCCCTAGGAGTCAGCCATGGAGAGGAAAATTTGACTGATGTAACATGTTGAATAGCAGAAAAATCAATTTAAAATAAACTTACAATATGCATTTAGTTGCCAAACTGTGGCCTAACAAGTCAGAATTACAAATACATACAAACCTCAATACTCATTTTTTCTGAGTTGTTTCTGAAGAAGGGACTATAAGTCTCTTCTAAATTGTTAAGCACTTCTGGTTCACACAAATGTCCTGTTTCATACACCCGGTTGTTCTGTACATCAAGTTGCTTAGCAGCATGAATACTGTTTTGCTGCTGCTGAAACTGCAACCTGTTTAAATGAGCACCACTATCTGCATTTCGACTTGCAGGTGGTCGATAAATTTCAATGGAAGGGCGAGAAGAACCATAAGTAAGTGTCACTGTAGGTTTTTTCTGAGATAAGGGATTCTCCTGCACAAAATTGAGGTCTTCATCAATGAGATCATCTGGTTCTGGCTTAATATCAATCACATCTTCAGAGGGTGCTGGCTCCCTCAGAGGTTTCACTGTTGACATTAGTCGGGTTGCAGCTCCTTCATCATAAGTCTGTCTATTAAAAAGCAAGACATATTACAATCAAATTAGAGCCATTATCTCCAAATCTTCAAAAAATATTAAAAATGTTTCACAAGCAAAAATAGATACTCCCTTATTCAAAACTACTTCAAAATGACATTCTTTCTTTAAACTTTGATTTACTATATTTTAAACAAAAGGTAACCATATTTAGGTCTTATCTATTATTTTATCCTAAGAATTGCTAACAATTACTTCATTAATTCAGCAAAAATTGCTGAAAACAGCATCTGAAAAAAATAATGTAAATACCACATACATACACTCATCTCCCATAGCAGGTGTATACACAACTCTTACCTGGTATTAGTGGTTTTCTGCTCCTGTGAACCTGCAGAAACCCTGGAATCTCTTTTTTCAGGTCTACTGCTAGAAATGGCAAGGGGAGATACTGCAGCTTCGTGCCTTCTCTCATCTCCCCGACTGAAACTGCTCTTGTTTGAAGGCACGTTACTATCGAAGATGTTGGTATCAGAAGACTTTAGACTAGTGGGTTCTAGAAAGAAAAATACATAGTCCTTGTAATTGACTTTTATTAAAATCTGTTCCTCTCCCATCACCAGTTCAAAAGCAATACATGTTTATTGTAGAGAACTTTTAAAATATGAATAAAAATCACCAATTACCACAAAGGTGATGTTTTGATAAGGTATACATACCCATTTCAAAAACTAAGATACATATTTTGTTCTCATTTTATTATTTTATTTTTCCCATTTTATTATTCCACATTGTCCTCATTTTATTATTCCACATTGTTTTACAGCTAATATTCCATACACAGTAATATAATAACTTATTACTACTGGGTTTTTAAGTAATTTTCAATTATACAATAGTGAGACATTTTAAGGTTAAATTTTTGCACACATCTGATTATTTCCTTAGGATTAACTGCACTGCTCCCCACCAAACATTTAAATTATTTCTGAGCTACAATAAATTCACTGTTCTTACATTCAGAAAAATGTGTTTCCTTACAAAGTTCAAATGAGCCACTGTTTTCAAAGTTATGGGTTTTTTCCTGAAGCAGTAGTACTTTAGAAGCATATGCGAGTAAGCAGGAATTCGAAAAAAACCTCAATGTTATAAATCTTACCAGTTGTAACAGAGCGAAGTTTATCTAATACACCATGAAGCCTAAAAAAACAAAAACAAAAACAAAAATAAAGCCTCCCTTAAGAAAAATTTTGTTTCAAATGCCACTTTAAATTTGATATTATATTCAGATATTGATATGACATTTAATGGATAAATGGTACTAAAATCAACTTTCTAGTTTCAACCTTTTAAAAAAGGCTTTTTATAAATACTATAGAAGTCAACTAAAAAAAAAATCATTAATTTTTTTCTTCACAATTTTTAACATCTAGCCTCTGTAAAAATAAAGGCAATGAGATAGGGGGAGAGCTCACTGGCAGAGTTAGAAGTTGTTAGAAGCATGTACAAGGCCCTAGGTTCAATCCCTGTCATCAAAACCAAGGGAAAAAAGGATTCAAGTGGTCTCCAAAAATACCACCTTGCTTCTTAAGAACTAAAGATTCAACAGTGCTTACAGTAAAACAAAATTAAGTATCCCAAACGTCTAATACTGCTTATTGTTACAACTGTTTGATCAGTTTTTGGACTTTTTGGTACTAGGGATGGAACACAGGGGTGCTTTACCACTAAGCTCCATCCCCAGTTCTTTTTAGTTACTTTATATTTTGAGACAGGGACTTGCTAAGTTGCTTAGGGCCTTGCTAAACTGCTAAGACTGGCCTCAAAATTGTGATCCTCCTACTCAGCCTCTCAAGCTGATGGCATTTGGGGGTGTATGCCACTGCATTCAGTTATTTTTCTTTTTTAATGTTAGGGATTGAACTCATGACCTCACACATGTGAAGCACAAATTCTACCACTGAGCCACAAACCCCGCCCCACTCAGCACAACAGTTTACATTTATTTTAATAACTTACACAATTTCTTGGACAACTTAATTCTAGTTAATAAATGATCCCAAAATATACCATTTCAATGTAACTATTATTTTCAATATTAATGCTGTAAACAAACATAGGCCACAACCTTGCTTTTAACATAACCTATTTTAGAATATTTAGTAGCAAAACTGCCTTGCAGTCCTTCTAAGAGATAAACCCCAAACACTAAAATCTCATAATATTGCTTCATTAAGAACCCCAGACACATCCAATGTCCCCATATACATAATTATGAGGGCTTCAAAAAAATCAGAATAGTCTATTTGTGGCTGGTATTAATAAACATTTAGGAAAGCAAGAGGCCAAAAAGAAGATGAATTATTGAATGTATAGCAAGACGAAAAAGTTGAAATAATTTGATTTTAAATTCAGTTTCAGATAATGATTATGTTTATTTAAGAAATATGTTTAGTGCTAGGCACAGTGGTGAATATCTGTAATCCCAGCTACTCAGGAGGCTGAGGCAGGAGAATTACAAATTCAAGCCAACCTGGGAAGAAACCTGGTGAGAACCTGCTTCAAAATTAAAAATAACAAGGGCTGGAATGCAGCTCAGAGGTTTCATTCCCCAGTCCCAACAAACCAAGGAAGAAAATTGTCTAGAATATTTCATCAAATAATCTGGAAAAGAATCTACTTGTTCAGTGTCCCACCTTAGATTAGGTGGACTCAAACCCAAAGTGATCCAAAGATCAGGTCATAAAAAACATTTATGAAACAAAACAAACACTTGGATTGCTAAAGACATTAAAAAAAAAAAAAAAAAAAAAATCAGTACTCAAGTATGGTACAATTCCGCCAGGCACAGTGGCGCACACCTATATTCCCAGCAGCTTTGGAGGCTGAGGCAGGAGGATCACGAGTTCAAAGCCAGTCAGTCTCAGCAACTTAGCAAAGCACTGAACAACTCAGCGAGACCCTGTCTCTAATAAAATATTTTTAAAAAGGTCTGGAGATGTGGCTCAGTGGATAGGCACCCCTGGGTTCAATCCCCAGTACCAGAAGAAAAAAAAAAAAAGAACGGTATAATTAAACCAGTCAAAAAAGCATCATGATCTTTTTTGGCATAAGCAATAAGACTAATTGCAATAAGTTGGTTAGGTCGCCCAAAATGGGCAATGTGTCTGTGTGTACCATCTGAAGATCACTGTACTCTAACAATGTTCTCCAAAATTGCACAATATATTGAGAATTTCAAGGTGGCTTCACAAAAACTGTAAAAAATACAGGTACCCAGTAGGATAAAAACAATGTGAAGACAATCTGGCTTAAAGGTACTAAGTTATTGGGCATCATCTCCATCCTCAGTGTCTCCTATTTGCCAAGTCTTTTGTTATTCAAATTAAACAAGCCAGGTACTCACACTACTCTGTCCCAGTGACTTTCTCTGTAACTAGTGGTTCCTAGTCTAAGAGCCCTCATATGAGTATTTCCTACCTCTATTCTCAGCTATCTTTACCCTTCCCTATTCTCCAACCTGGCCTTCTTAAATTCAAACTTACGCTTTTAGTCAGTATTTTCAACTAGAAACGTATATTGTTTGAAAAGGACAATCCAGATTAAAAGAGGAATCTGTATTGAAAAACAAAGAGGCTTATTTTACAAATTTCATATTTCAAAGATGAGTGAAATTTTTGTCAAATGAAGGCATACATAAAAAATTTAAAAAGCTGGGGTTAGGGGGGCTGGGGATGTGGCTCAAGCGGTAGCACGCTCGCTTGGCATACGTGCGGCCCGGGTTCGATCCTCAGCACCACAGACAAACAAAGATGTTGTGCCTGCCGAAAAATAAAAAAAAAAAAATACAATATTAAAAAAAAATAAAAATAAAAAAAAAAAAAGCTGGGGTTAGGGATGTGGCTCAAGCGGTAGTGCGCTTGCCTGGCATGCGTGCGCCCCGGGTTCGATCCTCAGCACCACATACAAACAAAGATGTTGTGTCTGCCAAAAAACTAAAAAATAAATATTAAAAATTCTCTCTCTCTCTCTCTCAAAAAAAAAAAAAAAAAATTAAAAAGCTAAAAACTGAAGGGAAAAAAAAACAACAATGACTCAGGAAGCTAAGGTGGGAAGACCACAAGTTCAAGGCCAAACTGGACAACTTATTAAAACCATGACTCAAAATAAAAAATTTTAAAAAGCTGAGGATGTAGTTCAGTAGCAGAAGTAGAGCCCCTGGGTTCAATTCCTAGTACCACAAAAAAATAAATAAACAAAACAAAAAACAAACAAAAAAAACAACAACTTTGGAAAAAGCAATGCAGGAAGCCAAGCCAGTCCAAACAACATTTGGTATTTTCAACTGGTCTGGATGGGGGGAAAGGAATGCTAGTATGTAAAAGTTTATAAAAGAAACCTAACAACTATAGCTGAGATACATTTTGAACCCTATAGGCCAGGCATACCTATAAGCATTTTACATGTATTAGTTCATTTAACCGTCACAGCATTCTATAAAGCAGGTATTTTGAACTTCCATTAAACAAATGGACAACAAAGCAAGATCAACTTTGGCAGTCTGGGTCCAGACCCAGTGCTTTCATACCTTGCAAACTGTTTTGCCACACTGAATCTTAACTCAACTGTCAAGGGCTCTTTCCACCTACTCTGACTTCTGCCAAGCTTTGTTCTGAGTCATAGATATTCAGAAACATACCATACGGTGAATCGAATTGTGTTGTTCCCTAGAAACAGGGACAGGTCCTCTGTCATTTGGTCCTGACTTTTCTTGTTGGCCACCATCACCATAATGTAATCAGGAAGTTCTTCATCTATTTAAAAGGAAAAGTATATCAAATTTTTTTTGTTTTCCTCATTATTTGTATTTAGAGTTGATGTACTTCAGCATATAGATTTAGCTTTAAGAATTAGTATCTATTGGAATTAGGTTAGATAGAAAAACTGAGCTTTGATTTTTTCCTCTTCATCTCACGAGTTCTACAATTATCAGAAGGATAGGAATTAGGAATAACTGATGAATTCCTAGTTATAAATCTAGACATCCTGGGCTGTGGTTGTAGCTCAATGATAGAGCACTTGCCTATGTGTGAGGCACTGGATTTGGTCCTCAGCACCACATAAAAATAAATAAAATAAAGGTATATAGTGTCCATCTACAACTAAAAAAAATAAAATAAAATTAAAAACAATTAAAATTAAAAAATAAATCTAGACATCCTGAATTATATTATTATTAATCTTGAGAATACATCCATTTTCTTGAAGTTACCTTTTTAATAATAATGTTCATTAACTTTAGAAAAGCTTCTATAAAGAACAACCATTATGTTTAATTTTCTGGTCTTTAATTTTTCAAGGTAATATTCATTTTTCAGGAGAACACCTTTATCTCTGATGAAGGTAAAGGCAGACTTCAATTAGTATAATAAACTTCCAGTAACATGAAATAAAATAAAATCAGCCCAAACTACATAACTTAAAAGTTTCAATCTTAAAATTAGGTAGGAGGTAGGAGTATTGTAGCTTAGCAATAGATCATTTGTTTAGAATGCACAAAGAATGCCCTGAGTTCAATCCCTAGCACCACTAAAAATATATAATAATTAGTTAAATAACATCAACTCACTTTTTTATACTCTTAGTGATAACCTTGACAGTGAGGATGAAATCCTAGATAAAGAAAAACATTTAAAAAGAACATCTCCAAAAATAAAAAATAAAAATAAAAAATAGGTAAAAACCATTATCAGAAACTCTAATCACTACCAAACAAACAAAAAGGATATTTCTTTACTAAAATTAATTTCATACCTAAAAATACTCATATTTCTATGTAGGGAGAAATGTTCATTTCAGAAGTATAATCATACACTTGTTTCAAAGAAAAATATCAAAAGTCCAGTTCAAAAGATATAAAATATATTTAGAAAGCACAACCTACAAAAGGAAAGGGAGGTCAGAATACTTCATGGAAGCATGCAATATACGAAAAGATACAAGGACTAGTCGATTTGTTTTTCTTTAGTACTATCAGAAAGGCTCCCACTGCTTTCTAGCAATTATAGTAAAGAAGCTGGGAGCTTGTATATGCATGTACCTACTACAAGCCACTACTGGTAACTCAGAAAGGGTCAACAGACAAGTTGAAAGTCTTGAAAGTTTTTCTTCATGTCAATGATACAAACAGACTATTCTTCTGCTATTGCCATGCATTAGTTTGCATTTCCTAAAATTTTATAAAATTACTGTGGACCTCAGTACAGGGTAGGAGCAGTGAAAGATACAAAGCAGACCCTAAAATTTTGGGGGGGTGATGAGTTTTTAAATTTTGATGGTACTGAAGTCCCAGTGCTCTGCACATGATAGGCAAGCATTCTACCAATGAGCTAAACACCCAGACCTATATGTTCATCATCTTGATTTGTGAGGAAAGTTTTGGATATATACATGACAAGAAATACCAAACTACAAATTTTATGTGCAATTTAAGGTATGCCAATTATGTCTCAACAAAACTCTTAGTAATTCATAGGTTGTGCTAAGCACAGTTGCATATTGCTGTAGCCCCAACTCAGGAGGCTCAGGCAAGATGATCACAAGTTTGAGTTCAGGCAACTTAGCAAGACCCTGTCTCAAAAAACAATGATGGGAAATGGCTAGAGTACATGCCTAGTATGCTTGAGGCCCTGGGTTCAATCCTCAATACTGGGGGGGGGGGGGGCACACAAAAACACAGAATCTTGGGTTGTTTTCTGAATAGATACACAATGAAAATTAAGAATCTAACAAAAAAATTAACATGTAGTCATGATGCATCCTACAGAACTCTGACAGATTTCTCAAGTTCATGTGAAATTAGTACAAAAAAAAAACAGTTAAAATCTTGAAGGTTTCTGGAAGCTCACATTCTAAAAGGTAAATGAAAAACTGCATTAATTATAACTACAATCTCAATGAAATGCTCCATTTTAAATACAAATAAGATCTTATTATCTCCTTTAAAAAAAAAAAAAAAAAAAAGCTTGTTCATCTTTGTATCCCACCCAATGCCTTAAAAATAGATACTGTCAGGCCTAGTAGCACTCAACTGTAATCCTAGTGATTTGGGAGGCTGAGGAAGAAGGATCTCAGCCTGGTGTATCAACAAAAACAAGCTGGGCATGGTGGCGCATCCCTGTAATCCCAGCGGCTTGGCAAGACCCTGTCTCAAAATTTTAAAAAGAGTGCCCCCACCACCACAACCACCAAATAAAGGAAAGAAACAAAGCAAGAAAGACCCACAATTCTTCCCCCTTTCTCCTCCAGCAGCCCAAGAAACAGAAAGGGAATAAAAGCTGCCCTAGACCCTGCTGTCGTCAAGAAAGAAGCAAAAAAGTCAAGAAGTGGTAACTCCCTTGTTCCAGAAAAGGCCTAAGAACTTCAGCAATGGACAGGACATCCAACCCAAAAGAGACCTTACCCGCATTGTCAAATAACCCCACTGCATCTGGCTACAGCGGCAAAGGGTGATACTCCATAAGCGGCTAAAAAGCCTCCTACAAGGCAGTTCACCTAGGCCTTGAACCAACAAACAACTACCAAACTGATTAAGTTTGCCCACAAGTACAAAACAAAGACTAAGCAAGAGAAAAAGCAGGGGGTATTGGCGTGAGCTGAGAAGCAAGCTGCTAGCAAAGGGAACAACCCCACTAAGAGGCCACAGATACTTCGAACAGGGGTCAATACTGTCACCACTTTGGTGGAGAATAAGGCTCAGCTGGTGGTGACTGCATATTATGTGGATTCTTTCTAGCTGGTTGTCTTCCGGCCAGCCCTGTGTCACAAGATGGGAGTCCCTTACTGCATCAAGGTGACATGTAGTTAACAGGAAGACATGCACCACTGCTGCCTCCACACAGGTTAACTTGGAAGGCAAAAGAGCTCTGGCTAAGCTGGTTGAAGCTATTAGGACCAACTACAATGACAGATAAGACATCCAACATCACTGCAGAGGCAATGTCCTGGGTCCAAAATCTGTGGCTCCCATTGCCAAGCTGGAAAAGGCAAAGGCTAAAGAATTCACCACTATAAATGTACACTGTTGGGTTTTCTGTACATTAAAATAATAAAAACTGTCCTGCAAAAAAATATTCAAATATTTATTGAAGGATTGTTTTCAGGACAATTTCTGGGATAAAGATTAGAAAGTCACCCTTTCCAGGACAATGGTATACACACATACAAATTATAAACATAAATCAGTAGTAAAATCTATTTTATTTCAAATGAAGTTGAAGAATGACCTGTTTATGAACTTAATGAACTCATATCTATGAAATACTGGGTTCTAGGCTACTGGAACACAGCAAACCCAAAATCTTGTCAAGAAACTGTGAAAGTGGGAGTATAGCTTAGCAGTAGAATGCGTGGAAACCCTAGGTTCAAGTCCAAGTACCAAACAACAACAAACTTCTGAGCTGGGCATGATGGCGCATGCCTGTAATCCCAGCGGCTTGGGAGGCTGAGACAACCTCACCAACTGCCAGGCACTAAGCAATTCAGTGAGACCCTGTCTCTAAATAAAATACAAAATTGGGCTGGGGATGTAGCTCAGTGGTTGAGTACCCAAGTTCAATCCCAGGTACCAAAAAAAAAAAAAAAAAAACCCACAAGTTCAAGTCCAGTCTCAGCAGTTTAGCAAGGCCCTCAGCAATTTAGAAAGACCCTGACTTAAAATAAAAATTGGGGGGGGGGGGGTGTTTACCAGGGGCACTCAACCACTGAGCCACATCCCCAGCCATATTTTGTATTTTATTTAAAGACAAGATCTCACTGAGTTGTTTAGTGCCTCACATTTGCTGAGGCTGGCTTTGAACTTGCAATCCTTCCGTCTCAGCCTCTGGAGCCACTGGGATTACAGGTGTGCACCAACCTAAAATAAAATTTTTAAAAAGTGTTGGTCATGTAGCTCAGCAATAAGGCATCTCAGGGTTAAATTCCCAGTACCCTCCCCCTCCCCCCCCTTAAAAAAAAAAGAGAAAGAAAAAAAAAAGAAATAGGCAGAGACAGAGAAAGCTGTACTACCACATAAACTGCTTGGACATATTTTGGTGGAGTTCTAGGAGTGCGCACTCCAACCCAATCTTTAGTTCACAAAATAAGTTAATAGCACAGAAACAGTAAGAACTCAGAAGACCTGAGCTCCCTGATCTAAAATCTGCTACTGACAAGTTCTATGTAGTCCTCAAGACTCCATTTTCTAACCTGTAAAAGGAATACTACTACCTATCACCTCAACCCCAGCACTGTGTTCAGGGACAAATGTAACAATATAAAAATATTTTTGAAAAACTACAGAAAACATTATTATTATGTATCATATGAATTAATGTTACAACAAGATTTTTAACAGGCTCAGAATTCTTTAATTACAATCTGATAAATGATCAAAGGTCACTGCATTTTGGCTCAATAAGAATGTGTTTGTGTTTGTGGGCTGGGGATGTGGCTTAAGCAGTAACGCGCTAGTGCCTGGCATGCGCGGGGCGTTGGGTTCACTCCTTGGCACCACATAAAATAAAATAAAGATGTTGTGTCCACCGAAAACTGAAAACTAAATATTAAAAAAATTTCTCTCTCTCTCTCTTCTCTCTCTCTTTAAAAAAAAAGAAAAAAGAATGCGTTTGTGCTTTCACATGTTAGAATTAAGAAAGTTTATCACTAGGTTTTCTGTGGATTTCTATTTTTGAGCCAAAACAAGTTCACCCCAGGCATCCATTAAGTGTTGAATGAAAAAGAATAAATAAATCCTGGTTCAGCTTCATCTTCTCATCAGTGAAAGTCTTAACAATCCCAACAACAAATAATTTCTTAAATTTGTAAGCAATTCATAAACTAAGAACTCTCAAACTTTAATTTATCACTAAGCTATATTCCCTGCTCCTTTTAAATTTTATATTGAGACAGAATTTTGCTGTTGCCCAGGCTGGCCTTGAACTTGTGATCATCCTGTCTCAGCTTCCCTAAGTTGTTGGGATAATTGGCATGTACCAACACACCCAGAACTGTCTATTAATTCATTTATAATAAATCAATTACATATTAACAACAAACCAAATTATACTAACATAAATAACATTTTTATTAAAATAACTAGTTTCTAAAACAAAAATATAATGCAAAGAGTGCTCTTGTTTTATATTTTAAATCTATTTAACATCTACTTTAAAAGACCAGTAGATTCCAGCATCTAGTTTATTTCATTTAATCTCTTTTAATACTGTTCACTTGGAAGAATATAAAGAAAATCTAGGGTCACATAAATACACACTTGCATTTCTACAACCTTCACAAATAATGTGAATATTATTCTGTTATACTACACTAAAACTCAACAAATGGTAATTTACTAAAAGTTAGCAGCAACATGAAATCTAAAACTACATCAAATACCTTCTTACACTATTACAAGAAAATCCACTGATTGAGCCTGTGCTTTTAAGGACACCCAAATGAATTTATTTAACATTATGTACTGATCACTAGGAAAATACTGGTTCAGTGAGCTAGAGAATCACTAACATGTTGATACATTTCATTACATATATAAAAATTACACTTGTAGCCAGGTCTTATAGTGCACACCTGGAATCCCAGCTACTCAAAGAGGTTGAGCCAGGAGGATGGTAAGCTCTAGGATATCCTCTGTACATCAGCAAGACCTTGTTTCAAAATTTTAAAAAAGGGCTTGGGATGTAGCTCAGTGGTAGAGTGTCCCTAGGTTCATCCCCATACTGAAAAACACACTCATACACACATATAAATATTTATTAAAATCTCTAAAATTTCACGAGAAATTGTTTTAGTACTGGAAATCAGGTTTATGGACGCAAATTTTTTTCAAATTTTTCCAATTTTCATTTGAAAGTTCAAGCTGGCATCAAAGACCAACAGTTCTTTTTTCTTCTGTCTGCCAATACTCAAGTACATGTAACCAGTTATCAGTTCTTTATGTTGACATGAGGGGCTAAAGATGCACCTCAGTGGTAAAGCACATGCAAATATGAGACCATGGGTTTCATCCCCAGCACTAATAACACACACAAAAATTTAAAGATGCCTCATGAAAAAGGTGGCTAAGCCAGGGTTGGTGATGCATGCCTACAATTTCAGCAACTTGGGAGACTGAGTCAGGAGGATTACAAATATGAAGCCAGCCTCAGCAACTTAGTGTGACCCTGTCTCAAGATAAAAAATAAAAAGAACTGGAGATATAGCTCCATGATTGAACACCCTTGGGTTTAATCTCCAGTACCTCAAAACAAAAAAAAAGTGATTAGTTTAATTCTCAACTCAATCATACACATGCCTTTCCTTAAAACAACCACCATTGTTTATTCTACCACAGAAGTGCTTTATGAGCACTGCTATTTCTGCAAAAGCAAAATATTAAAAAGATGGAGTGAAAGGCCTAGAGTTTTAAAAAATATTTTTACTGCTTGATTCAATGGCATACATTTGAAATCCCAGCAAGTAGGGAGTTTGAGGCAAAAGAACTGAAAGTTTGAGGCCAGCCTCAGCAACTTAGTGAGACCCTTTCTCAAAATAAAAAATAAAAAGGACTGCAGATGTAGGTCAGCCATAAAGTACCCTTAAGTTCAATCCTCAGTATGGCAAAAACAAAAAACACTTAAAGAGAAACTAGCTTTTTCTGTTCTGTAAACTGCCAAGTAGGGAAAATAGGGATTTGAATATGATTTCTGATAGAATCTGGCTTGACTATCTTGATTCAGGCTAAAAAAACAAGCAGTTTTACCAACCACTGCTTTTCCACAATCCAAATGAAAATAGTGAAAATAGCAAGTATCTTCTTAGTATTAATATGAAAGTAGTTTCAACTTCAGAGATCCTTAGGGTCTCACACTCTTTGAGAATGCTGTCCTAAGTGGTAACAATTATTTATAGGAAGTACCAGCTTTGACGTCAACAGACTAAATCCATAAAACTTTGCCCCTGATTGTACAGGGAGATATTACCACTTACCTTTCCGTGTTCTCCTGGGGATTATCATATTAATGCATATATAAGCACGCGCACACACACGCATAAATAGGCACAAAGCCTGACCCAGAGTAAACATTCAATATAAAAGAACAGGGAGAAAGAGAACCCTTTATTGTTGCAAGAAAGAAGAAACACTTGGAAGAAGATAAAGAGATCTAAAGATAAAACTCACTGAGCCATTCCAGGGCAAAAGCCAGAAAGCATCAAACATTCATGTCCAAAGTAAAAGTTCTGAAAATAAAGGTCAAGAGGAAAGTAACAAAAGGAAAAATAAAATAAAATCCAGAAAATGGAAATAGGAAAGAACCTTAGTGGAGGAAGCTACACTGTTTCAAACTACTGTATTAGGCTGGGGAAAAAAGGTTGCAAAGAAGAACGTTCAATAAAATGACGGGAAAGTAACCAGGGATTATCAGATTTGAAGAAGAGTAGAAAGCAGAAAACAGAATGTCAGAAGTACGATGGGGGAAAAATGCACTCACTAAAATTCAAGCAGCTGCAAATTAAATTCTAGTCGGCTAACAACAACGACAACAAAATACTTACCAACGTAAGCTCCTAATTCTTGCAATTTCCCCTTAATGGCACTCTAAGGGAAAAAGAGCAAATGTGCACGTGAGAATGGCGGCTCCAGGAAAACGACACCCGGGCAGCGCTGAGGCGACTTCGCCGGTGCCTCGCCTCCCGCCCCTCCGCAGCCGGGTGGGGGCGGGGAGGCGCCTCGACCCCCGGCGGCCCACCCGGGACCGCTCTCCGCGCCGCTGGGGGTAACTCGCCCGCCGCAGCCCGGGCGCGCTCTCCGAGGCCGTGGCCGCGCCAGGACCGAGGCGGCCCGGGCGAGAAGCGCCCCCGGCCAGGCCCGCCGACCTCGTTACTCCTGGCAACCGCCCGCCGAGGCCCCGCTTCCCGCCTTCACCAGGTGCCGGCTGACGCGGGCCTCACCCGGATCTTGCGGCTGATCTCGGTGCCGATCTCCATGGCTCCGCGGAGGGCGGCGGGCGGCGGGGACAGCACTGCGCAGCACTTCGTTTACCTGGGGCCCGCTAAGGCTTCCCACCCCGCAGGCCGGCCACCGCCGCCTCCAGCGCTGCTCCGCCCCCGGCCGCGCGCACTGCGTGTGCCCGCCCCCGCCGGTCCGGCGACCCCTTGCAGGCTGGGGGAGTCACGCATGCGCCCGCGCGTGCGTACACCTCAGTCCGCGAAGCCTTTGCACTAGCGACCTCTACTGGCGCCAGGGAGGACAGCGGCGTGCGGATTGCCTGGCTTCTCTCTAGGCCTTCTGGGGAAACTTCATTCCTCCCTTGACGGGTCTCCCCTATTTATTCATTTTAATCTCCTTTGGATAATAAAGATGAACTAAATGTGTAGCAGGAAGATCCATGGATTTGATGTGATATCTATGTTCAAATTCAGCTTTCACTTGATATGGTGTTGATCTATATTTCAACTGGAAACTTCCGTTTTCTTACCTGTGGAAATAGACTGCCTCCTGGAGGTTGCATTGTAATTACACTTTCAGGAAAATGGAATATCCTGAACAACACACCCCATCGCGAAGTCTTTTTTTTTTTTTTTTAAACCGGCGATTGAACCCAGGGGGGCTTAACCACTGAGGCTGGCTTTGAACTCGTGATCTTCCTGCCTCTGCCTCCCAACCCACTGGGGTTATGGGAGTGCAACACCAAGCCCGGCTGTGAAGTCCTTCCTTTTACTCCTCAAACATCCTGGCTTTCCTATTTCTACATTCCTCTCCCCAGGACATTGGTAGCCTTCCTCAATTCATCCTCCTGCTCCTCTCTGAACCCCTCCTTTGGGCTACTTTAATTTTCAGGCCTTCAATTGTTATTTCTATGCCGATAATGACCAAATTTCCCGTTTGCCTTGAACTCACACCTGAACTCCACCTCCAAAATTTAAGTTTCTATGCCCATTTTATTTTCTCCAAGTTCATAATTAAAATATGGACTTCATCACTAAAATATGCATTATGAACATCACCTTCTCCCACTCAGATTGATTTCTACTTCTGATTTCCTTTGCGGGGAGGGGTACTTAGTGCTCTACTAATGTGCTACATCCCCAGTCATTTTTATTTTGAGACTAAATTGCAGAGGCTTTCCTCTAACTTTAAATCCCCCTGCCTCAACCTCCAGAGTCACTGGGATATTAGGAATGCACCATTGTGATGAACCTGATTTCTCTATTTTTATCCTTAGAAGCCTAATTTTGTTACCAACCTATGTTCAGAGGCTCATCTCAGGAAAATTGAGACAAGATGAAAGGGACAGTTTAGGGGAGAAAGAAAGGGTTTTCTTAGTAGCCAAAGAATGTAGAAGTAAAGCCTATGCTTATAAATCATCTTCTCAAGCTGCAAACGGGTTAAGGGGCTACAGATATAGGATAGGAACAACTGAGAGGGAGAGTCTAATAAACAGGTTTTTTCCTAGGAATAGCCAGAGATATTTCAGGAACTCAGGTACCACCTCCTCTTATTGCTTTCATAGTCTGGTATTTCTAGTCATGGTGGCTAGTAGACTTGAAGGGAGGGGAAGAAGCTAAGCAAGTCGAGGTCAAGTTAATCTTACAGAGTTGGACAAAATATTTATCCAACTAATCGATTTGTGTGCATACACAGCTGAGTAGGCTCTGACCAAAAGGTTAAAGCAACAAAAGAGACACAACATGAAGACAGAGATGCCAAGTCTTTGCATCCCATTCCCTTTGGACATCAGTAGGACAAGTGAAGAGTCAGGACTTCAGGTCCTAAAAAGTTATCCAGGCAACTGTTATCATCATAACCTATGCATCCGCGGTGTTATCTACAGCAAAACTAATGGGAGACTAATGTATTGCCCAGCTGTGTGACCTCCAAAGTTACTGATGTTTAAGTCAGCTAAAAGCAACTAAAAGCTAGAGGGTTTATTTAGGTTTTTCTCTTACTAATAATTTTCCTCCCTTCCCTGATCATAAACCTTAGAAGCAGGATAGACATAAAGAGAGTCCTCTCTTCTCCATTTTCACTAGCTCCTGAGAGTGATTTGTATTAGTTAATCTACTGAGAAAACACAAATGACCACACGTTTAGCAGCTTAAAACACAACTGTTTCTCATCTCTCGGTTTCCATGGATCAGCAATCTAAGCATGGCTTTGCTGGGTCTTTTGCCCAGAGTCTCAGAAGACTGCAATTAGATGTCAGGCAGGCAGTGTTCTCACCTGAAGAATTCCTTTGCAACCTCTTTGAGGTTCTTAGCAGGAATTCATTTTGAGCTGTCATCTGGAGGCTGCCTTGGAGTCTGCCTATGGTTCCATGCCAAGGGCTTCTCCACTTCAGCCAGCAAAGAGAAGCTTCCCTCTCAGCTCAGGGGAGGCCCAGTCTTTCTTTTAAAGGCTTTTGTCTAATTAGGTTTGCCCAGGAGGAAGGGGTGAGCCCTCCCAGGTAGCCCTTGCTCACCAGTACCCTAATCAACTCATTTAGGAACAAAATGACATCTTCAAAACTCCTTATCTGCATGGGCGTGGTGGGTCATGCCTGGAATCCCAGTGGTTTCAGAGGCTGAAACAAGAGGATCACAAGTTCAAAGCCAGCCTCAGCAACTTAGCAGGACCCTCCCTGTCTCTAAGTAAAATATAAATAGGACTGGAATGTGGCTCCGTGGTTAAACGCCCTTGGGTTAAATTCCCAGTAGCAAAACAAAAACAAAAACAAAAAAAAACTCCTCATATTTACCATATTCATTGACTAGAAGTTATCCACACTCAAGGGGAAGGTTTAAACAACACAGAATGAATAGCAGGAGCAAGAATTGTGGGGTCAATTAGAGTCTGACTGCCATTGGCCCTTTCATAGTCTTATATAATCCTTTCTTCTGAGTTCCTATGGTATCTATATGGGAACTGCTAGTGTGACAGTATGTGTGTATGTGTGTGTTTCCTAACAAAATTATGAATTTTCTGTAAATCTTTAAAGTTTTCCAAAATTTCTTTCAGGATGCTAGACACATGGTACGTGCTTATTAAATATTTGTAGGGTGAGAGTAATTAAATACCTACTTTACAAAAGCATTCCTCATGGATAAATGCAGATTGATCATACACTCATTCAACATTGATGAAAGGCAGAAGAGAAGGGTGACTGACACCAGGGACCTGGAGCCAGACTGTCTAGGTTTGAATCATGGTTCTGCCACTCTGAGACCTTAGACAAGTTGCTTATTCTCATCCTGCCTCAGTTTCCTCATACAGCATAGGTATGATGCTTGTTTCCCCTGCAATATTTAACATTCTCCTGCAGGTTAATATTTGTGAAGCATTTCAAACTGACCTGGCTTATAATAGCACCATGTTTGCTGATTAAAAATTAAATACCTAGACTGAGCTAGATACCATGCTAGGAGCGAGAGCATACAGATGAGCAAGACTCTCTTCTTTCATGACATTCAAAATCCAGAAGACAAGTAAGTTACCTCTATTCCTTTACCTGCCATTTCAGCACTAAGAACAAAAACATGCTTTGCCATTATTGTGCCATTACCAAATTGGCAGTTGATATTTCAATAATATTGATTTTAAAAACCCTTTTGTGGGCTGGGGTTGTAGCTCACGGGTAGAGCACTTGCCTTGTGTCTGTGAGGCACTGGGTTCAATCCTCACACCACACAAAAATAAAGAAAGAAAGAAAGAAAGGTATTGTGTCCGTCTACAACTAGAAAAAAAAATATTGTAGAAAGTAGAGAATATTTTCATTAATATGTATACCAAAGAAGGAAACTTACTAAGAAATATTCAGGGCTGGGTGGTGGCTCAGTGGTAGAGCGCTTGCCTAGCATGTGTGAGGCACTAGGTTCAATCCTCAGCACCACATATAAATAAATAAAAATAAAGGTCCATTGACAACTAAAAAATAAAAAAAAGAAACATTCAAGAAAGTGTTCACTTTTAGGACAATTAGCTTACAATTATAAGAAAAGAAATTTTAAGCTATTTGAGAATTTAAATACTTTCAGATTTCAGAAAACACAGTGTCTGAGTCACAGAAGGGATAGCCTCACTTAGCCAATGGCATTTGGGGTTTTGAGGCTGATGTAGGTGCTGCCCTGGAAGATGCAGCTTCACAAACCACATCTTATCCCCAGGAAGGTGTTCATGATGAAACCCTAAGAGAATCCATTGAAAGGGGTGGAGGTATGCGTTCTGAAGAAGACTTAACTGAGTGGGACATGGTACTGTATGCCTGTAATCCCAGCGGCTCTGGAGACTGAGGCGACTGAGGCAGGAGTATCTCAAATTCAAAGCCAGTTTCAGTAACTTAGGAAAACCCTGTCTCAAAATAAAATATAAAAAGGCCTGTGGTGTGTCTCAGTGGTTAAGCACCCCTGGGTTCAATCCCCAGTACAAAAAAAAAAAAAAAAAAACAAGACTAAACTGGACCATGACAAATGACATATTTTTCTCTAAGGGATAGTATGAGAACTGGATTTCAACAAACCATAGTGTCAGCTAAGAGGCCTCTGGGCTACCTTCCAAACAGAAAAGATAACTGAAAAGAGCATTGACTATGAGGTCAGGAGGGCCTGAGTACAATTTCCAACTGCACGGGGCCTGTGTTCTCTAACATTGGTTCCCCAGTGTCTCTTGTCTTCTACATGGGCTGATTTCTACTGGATTTATTTATTTACTTACTTACTTACTTACTTACGTACCAGGGATTGAACTCAGGGGCACTTGACCACTGAGCCACATCCCCAGCCCTATTTTTTGCATTTTATTTAGAGACAGGGTCTCACTGAGTTGTTTAGCGTTTCATCATTGTTGAGGCTGGCTTTGAACTTATGATTCTCCTGTCTCAGTCTCCCGAGCCTCTGGGATTACAGGTATGCGCTACCGCCCCTGGCTTCTACTGGATTTTGCACACCCTGTGCAAGTGTGCATGAGTGTATGTGTGTACATCTGTGTGTACAAGATAGGGGAAGGAAGAAGTGGGGATGTGTCACCTCTAGTCTGCAATGCTTTTTTCCCTCTTCTTTGAGTGCTTAATGTCCTTTTATTTGTCTTTTCAGACACAAGCAAAAGCTGATTGCAGTGATTAACCAGGCATTGCATTCATTTAGGTTAAT